CAGCTGCTCTCACAGTAGGTCTTCTTTCTCTCATGAGCTGCCTTTCTCCCCTTTCTCAATTTCTGATACTTCCAGCAAAGCAAATTTCCCCTCTCTATCCCATTTCCTCATAAGCCTACAAGCCAAACCTTGCCAGTTCCTCCTTGCTCTCCTGAACTGACTCACATTTCCCCAAGAACAGGCAGGACATTGCTGGCTGACTTTGCCATCAGACCGGGAATGCTTTGCAGCACTCTTCAAGCACGGCAAAAGAGAAAGCATTTGAATGCTAATTGTATATTGGGACTGAGTGTAACCAGACCAACTGGAAGTGATACAGCTTCTCTTGCCTACAAGTCATAATTTATTTTATAGCTACAGAGAAGGAGAATTTGGAAAATTCCTTTTTAAGAGGAATAAATGCATTTAAAAAAAAGTAATTTTGCCAAAATAATTTCTAGCTAATAACACAATACATATTTTTTCCCTACTCTAAGTCTTACTTTTTATTCTCTGTCACTGCTTTTACTACCTTTTTCCCTTACTCTTTATTTCCCTTTAGAGTGCCAAGCTATGGACCTGTAATTTTGTACTCTTCTTGGGTGTAACTTAGCATTGATGTGTGACATAAAGCTTGCAGTTTGGCTGTTCATTCAGACCTATGTGAGGGAAATGCTGGTCAGCTGGCATCCACATCACTCTATTTTGTACAGCTGTGCAGCTGCAGATCCTTCATTAAGACCTTTTCCTTCTGCCATATTTGTTCAAATGATGGGTTTACTTGCATTACTTTAGTGCAACAGAGTTCTTAAACTTCCTGTTCTGGGGAACAAACTATCTATGCTAAACAAAACCCATCCAGGGTATATCATCGCCCAATAACATGGCTGTCCTGTGTTCAGTATGTCAGCCAGTCCTCCTGCAGTGTGCAGACTGACCCTTCTGAGGTAGATCCAGGGGTGGTCCCTGCACCCCTGTGATACTGTAGAAATTGGCACTGGTACAGATAATAACATTGTCATTCAAGCAGAAATCTGAAAAGCAATTATTGGTATTAAAACCAATGCAATGGAAAGTGATGGGTCTGGAAATTCCTTTATTGCCTGAAAGCTGGTGCTGGCAAGCCTTCTTCTGGTGCATTTTGATTTCTCGAAGCTGCTCCCAGGTGGCAGCTCCCATCTCTGGGCACTGGCATCCTGGATCAGTTTGCCACCTTTCTCTTCATTGCTGCATGGCCTGGGGAATGGAAAGCTTCCCACCTGGTGATCGGCCTGCTGCAACAGCAGCCCCTCGTGGGTGCTGGTGATCTTAATTTGGCCATTTCTGACTATTTCTCAAGTGAGTTTTCTAGTAACTAAACATCATGCCTTCATTCTTCTCAGGCTCATTTTCCGTGTCACCACCAGTGAGCGGCAGGTCCGTTTACTTTTCCATTTGCTTTTCCTCTCCTGTAAATGAAGAGTTCACAGCCATCTCCTACACCTGTAAGTTCTTCACACCTACATATAGAGCATAGTCACTTGGCTATGATTAAAACATCTCCAGGAGGAACAGTGCCACTTATAAGATCTGTGTTCTTGTTTTATAGTGCTGAAAATCCCATTCCCTGCTTGCCAGGTGTCATGAGAAAGCCCTATTGAGCCTGAAGTCACACTGCCCTGCCCCGTTGTGCCACTACTACACTTCTGTGACCTCACCTGCACCCTCTGACTCCAAGGTGACATTTTGTGCTGGAAACCCCATTGCTCTGGGATACCATCAGCTCTGATAACCAAGAACAGCTGTGGTTTTGGCTCTTAACCCCCCAAGACATATGAGAGAGTCATACCAGGCTGCTGGTAAGAGTTCTCCTTTCCTTTGTGTTCATATTCCAGTTTGTACAATTTCATGAGAAAGCCAGACTATGGCAGTTATAGTCTTAAAGGAGGTGAGGATAGAAGGAGTGTATTTGTCCTATTCACTCTTGAACAGATTCACACTTCCCTACTGCCAAATTCATATTACGATCAGTAATAAAGTGTGGGTTGTAAACATGTCAGCACTTAATGGGGCTTTGAATCAAGTACTCATTCATCCCACCAACTATGGGTGGTGACAAAATAGCTCAGTGGTTATTATTTTAGATCATGTATACTGAGGACTTTGTGAACTTTCCTAAGGGGCTAAAACCAAAACAATAACAGAAGAGGCTTTCTGATAAAGGTTGAACAGAACTAAAACATACACTTAGAAATCTTCCCATTATGAGCAATGCTCAGTGAACATAATCTCTCTTACAGATTTTGAAGTTCATGTAGCCTACGCAGTGTAATATGGGCTATACAGAGAGGAAGAAAAAGTCCATTTCCCCAAGGATAGGGTATTTTTAGTGGGTTTATTCCTCTAGGTTCTACATAAACCTCTCAAGCAGTTCAGTCATGGGAAACACAGTGGGGTTATATTTGGGTATAGAATAAAATACCGCAAAAGCCAGTGAAAGGTTTGACCCTGAAGCAGATGACCATTGTCAGCTTTGATTTCATTGCCAAAGTTTGTAAATATTTTTCCTAGTGCAGGCCAAACAACTGTGGCTGTCCTGATACTTGTTTGTGGCACTGGCTAACATTCTTCTCCAATTTCAGTCTGATTATCCTGTTATGGGGTGGGCCTGAAGATATTTTCTGAGAGCTTTCCTTGTAAAGAACAGCCTTGTTTTAAATGCCCCAGTCATCAGCCCTTAATATTGCAGATCCTTCCTCTGGGGAACACCCTCCATTTTCTAACTAGAAACCACTGATAGTTTCCAGAGGTTTGCTTACTGCAGCAGGAGGTGGGAAACCACAGTCCAATTCTGTGCTTTGCCAGAGACATCTGTGGTATTTAAAACAAATCACCATGTCTGTGGTCCATGGTGTTTTACAACTGGGGACTTGAAAAGGAGACTGGTGGGATGATTATTTGTATACTTTCAGCATCAGCTCAGATCCTAGCCATGGACACAAACAGGGTCAGAGGCAGGTTGCCCCTTGAAAAGTGTTTCACAGAATCCCAGAATCGCCAGGGTTGGAAGGGAACTCTGGAGATCACCCAGTCCAACCCACTGCCAAGACAGGCCCATCTAGAGCAGGTTACACAGGAACGTGTCCAGGTAGGTTTTGAATGTGTTCAGAGGGGGAGACTCCAGGACCCTCCTGGGCAGCCTGTTCCAGTGCTCTGCACCCTCAATCTAAAGAAGTTCTTCCTCATGTTGAGGTGAAACTTCTTGTGGTTTAGTTTATGGCCACTGCTCCAAATCTGTACTGGTACTTGGGGTTATCACAGAATCACAGAATAGTTTGAGATGGACAGAACCATCAAAACTCATCTAGTTCAACCTTCCTGCAATGAACAAGGACATCTTCAACTGGATCAGGTTGCCCAGAACTACATCCAGCTTGGCCTTGAATGTCTCCAGGGACGGGGCGTCTACCACCTCTCTGTGCAACTTGTTCCAGTATTTTACCACACTCATTGTAAAGAGTTTCTTCCTCATATCCAGTCTGAATCTCCCCTCTTTTAATTTAAAATCATCACCCCTCGTCCTATCACAACAGGCCCGGCTAAAAAATCTATTCCCATCTTTCTTAGAAGCCCCTTTTAAGTATTGGAAGGCTGTAATAAGGTCTTCCTGGAGTCTTCTCCGTGCTGAATGCCAACTCTCTCAGCCTTTCAGAGAGTTGTTACATCCCTCTGGTCATTTTTAAGGTCCTGCTCTGGACCCTCTCTTTTCTGTTCTGAGGACTGCAGAGCTGGATGCAATACTCCAGTTATTCCTCCCCAGGTGCAACACCCTACACTTGTCCTCGTGGAACCTCATGAAATTCTCTCTGCCTGATTCTTCAGCATACGAAGGTCCCGGTGAATGGCAGCACATCCTTCAGGTATACCAGCCACTCCTTCCAGCTTCCTCCCTTCATCCAGGTCATTGATAAACAAGTTGAGTAAGTCTGGAACCAGTTTCATCTAAATATAATCCATGAGACACCAGCTGGTCACCATCAAGGGAGCAGTTTGGCAACACTCATCAGCGAAAGGCAGGGATGACGTGAGTCTTGACTTCATTGCAAGTGCCCATCTTGAAGTCTTTGGAAGAAGGCTACCAAGATCACACTAAAAGTGTGTATTTGGTGTAAAAAGCCATAGCAGTGCTCAGTTCTATCTGTTTGCCTTTAGACGTTGTACACATCATGAATACAGACTTCAGGACTTCTCCTTTCATACGAAACTGTCTGGTTTCAAAATGTGACAGGTCTCAACTTGCAAAGGCCATGATGTGCTCCGCCAGCTGAGAGGGAGTAATTTTGCAGAGCTGTGGTGACCTTTTTCTCTGAATCACCTGTGAACAGCCTATGGAAAGACAGCACGGTCCTGCACCAGCATTTCACCCACCCCAACGGTGTTTGTCTCCATTGACTATCACCAACAGTGTTTGCAAAGCCGCTGTAATTATTAACTCATCTGGAGCAAATGGGATTTTATTTGCTCAATATCTTTCCAGGGATAAAAACCCCAAACCGAAACCCAAACCTAGCAGAAATTTTCCTTTCTGTTTGTATTTCTGGATATCTGGGGATGAAAACTTTCGTTTGAAAACACAAGTTTCGGGTGGCAGGGCTAGAAAGCCGCTGCTACCCTGCCCAGGGTCACGGCTCCTGGCCTGCGGGGCTGCAGGGTCCCGCCGCACGAACCGGCCGTCTGCGGAGCCCGGTCCCAGCTGCTGCCTGGGCTCACAGCGGGCCTGGCCTGGCCTGGCCTGGCCCGGCCCCACCCCGGCCGGGGCTGCCCCACCCACTGGCCGCGGCCTCCGTGAGGCGGGCGGCCCGGTGCGGCGTACGAGGTGGGGTAGGCCTGGGTCGGTCTCCAGTCCCTGCGGCGCGGTGCACCGCGGCGGCCTAGCTCAGCGCGGTGCCGGCATGGATCGGTGAGTGCCTTGCGCGGCTACTAGGCTCAGGCCGAGGCCGCGGACGCGCCGTGAGGTCGCTGCTGAGGCGGAGCCGGTGCGTGCGTTGCCTCGCTGGGGCCGTGCCTGGGGCGCTGGAGGCCGTGCCGTTCCGTTCCGTTCCGCGCAGTGCCGTGACGAGCCGGGCGGTATGATCGGCACTGTTCTCTGCTATGTGCTGCTGCCGGGGGCGCGGCTCCTCCGGGCCCTCCGAGGTAACCCGGCCCCGGGCGGGCGGCGGTTGGGCCCTGGGGAGCCGGCGGCGGGGGCCCCTCGTTTCCCCAGGACCCGGCCTGAGGGCAAAGCGGCCGGAAGGGCCTGGGCGGCTGGGAGCCAGGTGCCTCCCTGCTGCCCCGCAGCTCCCCGAGGCCCTCGCCCTGAGCAGCGCGGGGGGCTGGGCGTTGGAGGGAGCAGCAGCCAGCTGTTGTGCTGCAGTGGCACACTGCGGTCTGCGGGGAAGCCTGGGCCTCCTGACCCGGACCTACGCTGCAGGTCTGGGGAGGGCTTCGGAGCTGATCTGCTCTGCGGTCTTGGACTCCCCAAGGACCTGCTGTTGACTCATGCATGGACTCTTGCTTTGTGTGCATCAGTATTTCGCTTAGCTTCCTAGGCCCTGCTGGTATTTTCCAGGCTCTGGTAACTGTGCTTGAACCTGTCAACAGGCCTGTAGCAGACAGTGGCCCACTGATTCATTGTGAGCAGCCAGCTGACTGCTGTCAAATTCAGCTACTCTCCTGTAGTGACAGGCGTTTGTAACAGCCGTGCCTGGCTAGTAATGTGTGAAAATACTGCCTTGGTGCTTGGACATTCATGAACTTAATTACAAAACTAGGAGGAGTTTGGTTCTTAAAGCTCCATTTCTGACACGGAAAGCTTTGACATGAAAGAGAGAATAAAAGCATACATGGATGTTGCTGACACCTGCATTTCACTTCTCTGGCTCATTGACTTGTCACAGGGATACAGTAGAGAAAATGTAATTTGTAGACAAGAGAAACTGTAAATCAGAAGTAGTGTCTGTGTAGAATTTGTAGCAAAACATTAATGCAGTCATCTGTTGTATAGATGCAAGTGAAGAGAGTCCCTGTTGTGTTCTACTTTACCCCACAATATTAATACATTCAAATGTTACGCTAACAACAGGAGTTACTTTAATTTTTTACCACGGATGTCAGTCATCAGGTGATCTGTAATTCTTACCAGGGCTACTTCAGTACATGTATTCTTTCTAATAAGGCTTTTAACCACACTCGCTGGGTCCTCTGTCTTTATTTTTCATCTCTTGATTACAGTTTTTCTTCCACAACACATTCTTGTGATATGTTTGTTCTTAGCTGAGCACAGTTTTGTTACTCAATCTGTGGAAAGAAACTTGCTCCAAGTGGTGGTCTACAAGAGCTTGGCTTCTTGGCCCATGCACCCTATCAGTCAGCTAACTTCTACAGACTGTGATTTGCATGTGTTGCTGAGAGCTGATAGTGTTTCCACACGGCCTTTTAGCTTGGGTGACTAGCTGTGGCACTGCCTAAGTTAGAACTGCATTCACAGAATCACAGAATCGCCAGGGTTGGAAGGGATCTCTGGAGATCGCCCAGTTCAACCCCCCTGCCAAGGTAGGACCACCTAGAGCAGGTTACAGAGGAGCGTGTCCAGGTGGGTTTTGAATGTCTCCAGAAGGGTAGATTCCACAACCAACCCTCCTGGGCAGCCTCTTCCAGTGCTCTGTGCCCTCAGTCTAAAGAAGTTCTTCATGTTGAGGTGAAACTTCATGTGTCTTAGTTTATGGCCATTGCTCCTCATCCTGTTGCTGGGCACCACTGAAAAGTCTGGCACCATCCTGCTGGCATGTGCCTTGTAGATATTTATATGCATTTATGAGATTATTCCTCTCTCAGTCTTCGCTAGACTGAACAGGTCAAGCTCCTGCAATTGCTTTCGTAAGAGAGATGCTTCGGAACCCTAATAATTCCCTAGAGTTGGTAAAGCCATTGGTATCCTGTAGAGTTTCAGTGACTTTGACTAACATAACTAGTGGCCAAAGAAGATGCAGTCCAATTTTGGTTCAGGAGGAGGCGGCGAAAGTTGTTCAGACAGTAACCATTTTTCTTTGGAGAAGTCATTTGTTTGGGTTGCTGTACTGAATGGCTGAATTGTACAGAGTTACTGCAAATACATAGGAAAAAGAAAAGAGTGAGAAAGGATTTTCATCTGTCTTACGATGTTTTTTTTGTTTTCAAATGGCAGATGCTTTCTTTACCTGTCGAAAGAATGTGCTTCTGGCGAAGAGCACGTCCACCCAGATAGAAGAGGTCTTTACTGCGAGCAGAGGAAGGTCAGTTCCAGAAGAACAAGAAGCCCTTCTTCAGCAGTGGCTGGGAGAAGGAGCAGAGAATTTGCCAGGCAGTAAGAGGGCTCCGTCAGTGGCGAAAGTATCAATTACGCTCACTAATGACTGGTTAGAAGGTTCAGAACTGTTGATGACTAGCCTCAGTGATCTGAATTCAGCTCCAGAAGTCACCCAGTGTGCTGGTGAGCATCTCACAGAGCTACATGCCTTGGCCTCTTCGGAACCGAAAGACCACGCAGTGACTGAACTGGCAGAATTACCAACAGAGGAAACATTGGCTGTAGCAGGCAGTGCCCCTTCAGCAGCCGGGGTGCCACAGAAGGATCAACAGACAGCTGGCTGTGCTGCTGTCAATGTAGAACTGCAGAATGAAGACCCAGCTGTGCTGGCTTGGAGTTTAGTGTGTGATGAAGAGACGGTGCCAGCAGAGCCCCACGCCTGGCCCATTCAGGATATGGTACAATTTTCTTCTCTCCCGACAGAGGTACCCTACCATGGTCAGTAGTAACAGCTCTGAATCTAATGTTTGGGTTGGGATTTAGGTTTGTAGTGAATGCGGTCAGGGTATTGTGTCTGGGCTTGCTGTCAGTAAGACACCGATTGTATCTGTCCATGCAGAATTGACAGGATCTGCTAGTGAAAGCTGCAAAGTGAGTTTTTGCTGAAGGAGGGCTGGTCACAGCTAGTAGTCTCAGTGCTGTAAGACCATCTGGTCTGAACATCAGTATATGTTAATTTTCTAGGCACTGTTCCAAAATGCTGGTTTTGTAATATAAAAAGGACCCAAAACCTGGTTGAGTGCTTCAGTATGCTTGGCTCTGGTCTTCTGTTATGCTACCCCGTTGACAGCCATCCAAAGGCATCCTGAAAGAGCACCTGAAAAACAGAGTGGGCGAGGGTTTGCACAGAGGCTAGAGGACCCTAGTTAACAGGAAGAGAATGGCTATTTTCTGGGTCCCAGGGTAACAAAGGTATAAATAGGGTACCCAGCATGGCTGTAACTTGGCTTTTTGTCTCTTGCATACAGAGGTTTTATGGAGAGACTGGGAAGACCTTTCTATCAAGCCACGTGAGCTAGAGCAGGTCTCAAAAAACACTCCTCTCTTCGAATTTCGAGTCATGTCTTACAACATCCTTGCCCAGGACCTGGTGGAGCAGAGCCTTGATCTCTATCAACACTGTCCTCCAGACATCCTGAACTGGAACTACCGCCTTCCAAACCTTTTGCAGGAAATCCAGCACTGGGATCCTGATGTGAGTATGACTGAGCCTTTTCTACATCAGTGTCACCAGAATTTGAATTCCTTGTCTTGTCTAACAGCATTAAAAAATGAAAAGAATGGGGTGAAAGTCCTTGGAAAATACAGCCTGCTTGATAACTGAACACTGATTACTCCATTCCTCTGAGAGTCTTTGAGAGGCCTTGTGCATCCATTTTTTTTTAATATTTATTCTGCTTTGATTGTGTTATTACAGAAGCTAGTTGTACTTTGATATCAGGGCTTAACTTCTGTAAAAAGCAGAAGCAGAGGAAGAGATAATGTGTGTTGCAGGAGGAAAGGACCAGGTTTATAAGGCAGCACAGGAGGGGAAGCCTGCATAGAAAGGACTTCATGTCTTTCTCTGTTCCTTGAGTCCTCTTTGTGTAATGAAGATCTTCTGCCTCGTCACTGGAAAACTGAATGATAAGCTAATGTGACCCAGAAAATTATTGCTCTCTATCTGGAAAGTACAGGACAGAGTTGCAGTGATCACCTTTCTGGTTGTAGGGTTGATATGTGAGTGCACTTTTCCACTTTCTTCCTTCCCCAGAACAAGGTAACTAGCAAATACTGGTGAAGTGAGTGAGGTCTCTGCCTTCCTTCTAGGTTCTGTGTCTCCAGGAAGTGCAAGAAAACCATTACTGGGAGCAGCTAGAACCAACATTCAAGGGGATGGGTATGTCCTGCTTTTGTGTGTCTGTACCTCCAGCTCATGGAACTGGCCAAGGAGTGCTTCCTGCTTAATGTCTTCAAAGCACTTGGTCTTGAGAGAGCTCTTTCTATTTGTCAGGTATTCTGGCTTTACTGAGCTGTATGCCTAGACCTTTACCCTTTCTTTTGTAATTGATCTTTCTCAGAGTTGACAGAGTAACAAAGCTGACAGACTTGTAGAAGGACAAGGAAAGATACAATATCCTCAATGATAAACTCTGATTACTGGGATAGAATTGGGTGTAATGCTGAGCCCAAATGCAGTAGGAGCCTCTTCTGCTACGGAGACTTGTTGAACTCCCTAGCTCATGGGGGGAGCTTGAGGTAGTGACTGGATAAACTTTTTAACAGGTGATGGTTTCTTTTCAGGCTTCACATGCTTTTATAAGCGGAGAACTGGGAAGAAGACAGACGGCTGTGCAGTGTGCTATAAGCACAGCAGGTTCCAGCTGATCAGCTTCAGCCCCATAGAATACTTCCGTCCTGGCCTGGACGTCCTCAATCGGGATAACGTGGGCTTGGTGCTGCTGCTGCAGCCTCTGCTCTCAGAGGGCCTAGATCTGAAGGCAGTCAGTCCTTTGTGTGTGGCTAACACTCATGTGTTGTTCAATCCCCGGCGGGGAGATATCAAACTGGCCCAAATGGCCTTGCTCCTAGCAGAGATAGACAAGATTGCAAAAACTACTGAAGGAAGCTACTATCCTGTCATCTTGTGTGGAGACTTGAACTCTGTACCTGATTCTCCGCTCTACAAGTTCATCCGGAATGGGGAACTTTCCTACCATGGGATGCCAGCCTGGAAGGTAGATGGCAGCCAGAACTGGGGTTGGGTAGCTCGTTATTGCATGCTGCTGTAGAGAAATGCATGTAAATGTAAAGAATGCATTCTCCAATTCCTCCAGCGCTGTTGCGGAAAGAAGACAAATGTGTATGCATTGTTTCCACAGCTGCTCTTTTGGCTTCTCTTGAGGCAGACTGGGGATAATAGACCATTTCAGGTCCTGATTCTCCCTTGGTATGGGGTTTTTGTGCCTGCATGACTATAGGTGAAAGTTTAGGGGAGTACAAATCCACTGAGACTTTCTGAAGGGTTTGTTACATCTGCACCATGTTGTGAACAGCTTAGTTCATGCCTTTCTATGAGGCATTCTCCTGTTGCTCTTGGCAGGTGTATATACTTACATTGTCTATAGCATGCAAAATTTCTGCTTGGTGTTGCTGAGTGTTTCTGGCCTCCATGCAGGTGTCTGGTCAGGAAGACTTTTCCCAACAGTTGTATTCACGGAAAATGCTGGCCCCACTGTGGCCGAGCTCCTTGGGTGTAACAGACAACTGCCAGTATGTCACCCTGTGCCAGCCAAAGAAACAAGGTGAGCTCCCGTGTGCGCTGAGTACATAAGTTTGCTGAGGATGGACAGTCTGTGGGCCTTGCTGTCCCAGTAGCTTAGCCATATGTTGCATGAGGCACGCAGCAAAGATTCTCTTCTGTCAATTTCCTTGGTATATGAGTTAAATTTAATTTTTCTGGGGTCTGTTGCTGTAGCCCCATTTCTGCCATTTTCTTTCTCTAGTCAAGAGCTGAATGTTCTCCTACCAGTAGCCATTGCTCTGTGTATGTCTTTCATATTCCCAGACTTACACTTCTGTGCAGTTGCAAACCATGTTCAGCTGCAGGTGTTTGTCGGAGTGGTTCTGTGCAGTATTTGCACACCACTATTAGGAAATCATTCCAAAGGGCCCATTTACAATTGTGGCTATTCTCTACTATCCTTAGGGTTAAAAGAAAAGAAGGAGCCCACACTAAATAGCTTTTGTTGGAATCTTGAATGTAGAACTTTTATTGAGTCTGAGCCCTGGAATTGTTTTTTCATTTTTGGCAGACATTTCCTTGAGTTGTACAGTAACTCATCTGCTTGAAAGTCCTTTGAACCTGTGGTATCTCAGAGGGGGCATCTTAATTTGTTTCACCAAGGTGCTGACTAAGACTGTTGCATTAGCTAAAGGGATAGCAATGACTATGCTCTGTTCTATGTTTATGCGTCTGTTCTGTTCTACGTTTAGGTTGTTAAGTGATTCTCATTCTCATGGTATCAGAGTGCTTGGGCAGAAAAACCTCTCTCAAACTAAAGAGGCTTAAGAGGTATAAAGAGTGTGGAGGTGTCCCCTGTAGGTGTGACTTTGGTGCAGTCATTTTCTTCTTTAAATTATATTTTTCTCTGCAGGCAGACGTAAGTACAGCCGGGACTTCCTGCTCCAGTTTCATTATTGCGATCTTGCCTGTGAACGACCAGCACATCTGGTCCTTTTGGAAGGTGTGACAGATGCTAAACCAGGTACTAATGGGAGACTTTCCAGCTTGTGTCTCTCCTAGCTCAATTTTGATAAAAACATGGGGTGGAGGTAATGCCTGGTGAGAACAGAGAAAGCAGAAGGGTGCCTTCTGTGGCTGTGTGATTACTAATGGATTCTATGAGAGTTCAGAGGAGTACAGTCTTACTACCCTCATACACATTGACTATATTGCTTGAGATGCATAAAGATTCAGCCTCTTAGAGGCTGTTGGTTACAAAGTGAGATCTAATTCTGCTGTCTCCATTTCTGTTCTGCCCTTTGAGTAAGCGGTAGGCTAAGGGAAATGAACTTTCTTAGAGAGCAAAGGTTAAGGTACCCTAAGCTTCAATAATAAATGCTTCAAGGACATACTCTTGGCAGGACAGAGTATGACTTCTCTGTAGTTTGTACTGATCTGCTCTAGGATGTTCCTGTTAGCCTTAGCGCTGGGGTTTCCTTTGAATATTTTTCTTCAAGGTGCCTGTCGCTGGAAGCTATCTGCTCTTCTTGGGCAAAAAGATTCATTTGATGTCAGGAGAAGCTTCTCCGACTTGGAATGAGAAGCCTGTTCCAGGATCTGTGTAGGTCTGGCTGGACTCTCTTTGCTCCTTTGCAGACCGCCCTCCACACTGGTGCAAGCCTGCTGCCATGGTGAAGGACCCTGATCCTCAGCCATTCGTCCCAAGGTAATTTAGTGCATCTTCAATGGCCTCACTCTTCAAGCCCGGTCTTGTTTTCCAGAGAGCTGAAAGTCTGGCTGAAGTAAAGACTGAAATAAATGTGGGGGTAGAAGAGAGTAAGGAGGGCTGTCTGGAAGAGCCAGATCCACCCAGGGTTGTCCCAGCAGTTGGGTGCTGTTCTGTCAGCATTGTGTTGGTGAGGTCGAGAATGAAGAGCATAGACAGGACTGGGTATTGGAGACAAAGGAAGTTCACAGTCAGCTTTGTCTTTGGTGTAAGTGGAGTGAATAATTCGGAAAGACTGTCTTTTATGCATTCACAACGTAGTAATAGTTTGGGCAGTTGCATCAGCAAGGGAACATCCAATCTCAGCTGTGACTGCAGTACTGAACACTATAGCATTTTCTTTCTTTCCTTTATAAATGGTGGCTTTTCATGTGCAGGTCTTCAGGTATTATCCAGCATGGCCTCAACCTGACCTCTGTCTACAGCCACTTCCTGCCACAGAGGGGACGCCCGGAGGTCACAACGATGCCCATGGGACTTGGAACCACTGTTGATTATATCTTCTATTCAGCAGAGCCTGTGGAGAATAGGAACAGGGGGGGTGAGTGTGGCAGTGCAGGGTTTATCCCTGTGATGTTGGGAGAGGACTGCGAGACATGCCAGAATGCAGCTCAGTCTTTGGCAGTGCATTTTGCTAAGCTGGGGTACATCTACATTATGTGACTTTGACTGAAGCAATGCACAGAGTGGAAGCGTTTGCTCAGGTATCATAAGAAGACACTGTTTATCTTTGCTGTGGAAAAACTGAAGCTGATTAGCTTATGTTCATGTAGGCTTTTGAGGAAGCTAGAACAGAATGGATTCTGTTCTTTTGTATAAGCATTTGTGTTCCAGTGCTGGGTCCTAAGTTCAAGGCTTGGACTTACGGCTTGTCTGAGACCACATACTAGCCTTAGAAGGTGATGACTAGATACATACAATGGCACCACCTCTCTGCAACCTGAAACAGGAGATATGGTGATGAAAGACTGCATGTAAACACATCCAGGAACTGTCTCTGAGCTGGTTTGGATCATGTCAGAAGGAACTTTGGGGAAGAGGTTAGGAATGGAGAGATTAATTTGTCCTTAGGGGAGAATATGAACCTATTGCTACAACTTAGTACCATGAAGGGAACTTTTCATGTAAGCAGCTGCATGGTGAATTGAGTTTGATCAATTCCTGTGCCTAGCAAGTATATGAAACATTGAACAACAGCAGTATAGGATGCTCACTGCTTTCATATCTAGGCACAAAGCTGCATGCAGTGTTTGTGCAGGCTGTCTTTGTTCATTAGGGAAAGAATAGGAAAGCATTTACAGATGTCCCTCTGTGAGTGTGTAGAGTTAATCTACAGCATCAGTCTCTGGCTGATATTTCTTTCCGTTTTCTCTGTCAGGTCGCAGGCTGTACCAGGATGGAGCCCTGAAGCTGCTTGGCCGCCTCTCCCTTCTCTCTGAAGATGTCCTGCTGATGGCGAATGGCTTACCAAATCCCTTTTGTTCATCTGATCATCTCTGCCTGCTTGCTAGCTTTGGCTTGGAGATTGCCAGCCTCAGAGAGGGTTAGTGTTGGTTCCTTTCCCTAAAGAGAAGCTATTTTGAATATAGCAACTGGGGCTGTGGATTGCACAACCTGCTTGCAAGAAAACTATGTTCCTGATCATGCCCTAAAAGTCCCTTTCTCCCCTTACTTCCTCAGAAAAAGCAGGAATGGGATAGTTTGAGTGCTTTTTGCATTGCTATTTTGTTTGTTTCTTCAAATTTGAGCTATATTCCTGGTGGGCTTTCAGTTGTATTCAGGCACTGCCATCTCTTAAAGGGATCCTTGTTACACTGCTTTGTTAAGCAGGTGTCTTAGTGCTGCTGGAACCACCATAAATCCCATGTTTATTTGACCCTGTGTGAGATCTTCAAGGAGCTGGGAACAAGAGGGACAATGCTGCCTACATCTGGTTAGTTAATTGGTACCAAGGATCTGGGAATGTATACACCAGTATTTTATCACACCAAAACAATGGTTAGTTTCTCAGTGGTAGCTTATGAAGTATGAAGGGAAAGGCTGTGTAACTTGGAGCCAGATTGTCAGTCACTTGGATTCCAGTGTACTTTTGCTAGCAGTGGCTTAGCAAATACAAACCCAATAGAACCTTACCTGTTCCTAGAGCACATTCCCTAGATCAGCCTGACATTTTCTGCTGAGTTCTTCCATAAGATAGGAGAGCAGTATTGGCAAAACCATTATCGGTTGTTCACAAATGAGGCAGGGGAATCTGATCCCACTTCAGGTTTTCGTGGGAAGGTACGAGGAGACTTGAAATATTGTTCTCTCTTCCTGGGCTTTATTTGGGTTATATTTTAAATGTCACTTTCTTTATTGAAAAATAAATTTTTTCTCATCTAAGAAAAAAAACATGAACTAACTGCAGCACCTTGTGTTTGTGGTAGCTGAACCCTCTGAGGACTTGCTGAACAAGGCTTTGCTGGCTGTGATGGGAAAGAGAACAAATTCGCTGCACAAGACAGTAGTAATGAAGGTTGAAAGAGAGAAGTGGGCCTAACTGTTGTCTCCCAGCACATTCCCAAACCCCAGAGTTGGTTTATTTGGCATCAGGCTTGCCTTGCAAAATAGTTTGCACTCAGCAACAGTTTCCCTCCTAACAGAGAAAGCAAGTACTGCCCACCTTTTACAGCTCACTTCTGCAAAGTGTACAGAAACAAGGTGTGTATGTGTGAGGTTGTGTTCTGTGCCCATATATGACTGTGTGAGGACTGCATACTCCCTTCTTGCTCCTGACAGATGTTGGTGATTTGCCTGGTGATTTGTGGATGGTTTTTGCCAGCCCATAGTCGGTATTAGTGAATAGCAATCTGGGGGCGAATAAGATTTGTTTGCCCTTAATTTCACAGGTAAAGGTTCTGGTGTGGCACTGGTGTGTTGTACTTGGGGAGGTATGCAGAGCTGTGTATTTCTATGGCTCTGCTTATCTGACAGCTGCCCTAATTTCTGCAAGTACTCTTATTCTGAATTGTAATTGATTGCATTTGTAAAGGAAGGGGAGGAAAGGGAAATCAGTGAACTGAGATCTTAATTTTCTGCCAGCCTTGAAAAGAGGTTGCCAGAAAGAAGCCTGATTGCAGATAACTCCCACCAGCTGTTAGCATTGTAATAGGAAACTTGTAGGACACTAAAGGTTTAAAACCAACCAACCAACCAAAAGCAAACCAAAACCCACTGTGACACATAGTATTGGCACTTACAACTTTGGCTATCTGCTTCAGCTGTAATTGCTGGCTAGGCCTGATGGTGAATTAAGGGTTTTGTGGAAGCAGCCCTCCTGCCTCCCACCTGTTGATACCCATAAGGAGTACACCATCTAGTGCACATGATGTACATGAGCACAAATCTAGTTACAAATATAAACATCCTGAAGTCTGTTGAGATCTTTGTCAGCAGATCTGTTGCTAGGTTTTGTTCATAGTCATAGCTGCTGTGTTTTTGGGGTAAGGGGTTTGACTTTTAATCCTCTATAGCCTTGCACATTTTGTTGAAAAAAAAGAGATGATTCTCATACTCCTGAATACCGACAGAACCGTTTACAAACCGTTTACAAAGAACTGGTTGCCACTGCACTGGCCAAAGCACCCTGCCAGTTATGTGATGTAACTGGACATGATAGCAGCTGTGCTTCAACATCACAAGTGCTTCTTCCATTTTATTTAAACCAAAGACTTGACTTCTGTTTTGGTAACTTGCATGAAGGCATCTCTCAGGGAGGTTTTAAGGTTCCAGCTGTATTTTGTTGGAAAATCTAGTGTTCCACAGGTCAAGCTAATGCTTTCACTTTTGATACGTGAAATAGTATGATCTCAACTTGAAATGGTTAAGTTGCTGAACACTGGATATGGAGTCATGTGCTGAGAAACCCCAGGACAATGCCTGCAAGTCCTCTGACTTCTCTCTGAAGGTTAGAAAGCTCCTGGAGAGCCCTGCAGCTCCCAAATGCTTCCTTGAGCATTCATAGGTGTTAACTATTGCAGAAATGCAGGACCGTTGCTAGTGACTGCATACAGACATACAAGAGTTTATCACTGTGGTGGTTTTGACCACAGTTTGTGAAGCTCTGATATGGATCCCTACAGGGTTGGCCTGTTTCAGGAAAGGAAAGAAAATGTATTCTTAGAGCAATCTGGAGGTGGAGGCTGTGAATGCGTCCAGCTGTGGGGGAGGTATAGGAGAAGTTGGGAGGTGGGGTGGGTGGCAAGATCGCTACCCCTAAAATAGCAACTAGTATATAGTTGTAGGGGAAAAAAGCTGTTCTGTGATGCTTTAAGAGTAGCACACACTGGTACAATAAGAGGCTGCAGTAATGAGTAACTTATGGTGGGACACATAACTAAGATTCCAGATGTAGCTCTTAATACTGTTTCCTGACTTAAATGTGTGACTAGCTGGCATTAGCATAGCTTTCTGGTGAATTACAGAGGGATCTGTAAATGATAGGAACTGTGATAGGAATACCTGCTATACTCAGAAAGAGAAGGTGTCATAGAAGTAGTAGTGATGTAAGCCTCAGTGAGACTGGCACTTAGGGGAAGGCATGCCAGAGACCAGTAGCAGTGTGTATACATGCCCTGTTACCAGTTTCCTAAGCTGCAGGAGCATGCAGCTGTAGAGGCAAACACGTATTTGACAAAGTATCTTTGCTAGATAACAGCTTAGGTTGCACTGCACTGCACGGCTGTATTTAGTTATGCTACTTAGATAGAAGTTGGACTTCCTTCACTTTCTCAGAGTTTTAAGTTTATCACTTCAGGGTGTTGCACTTTATAATCAGTTTTCCCAATTGCATGGGGTGGGAGGAGTGGTAAACAATATAATTGCTCTAGTTTCTGCCCTTTTCTTAAATTAAACTTGGCTGCTCCTTGAGGTCTTCCTTATCCATCCTTTTCCTTACAAGGTATCTCTCCAGCAGCTGTTCTCCCATGACTGCGGTACCCCGTTATCTTGCTGAGTTACTGATGTTTATTTTTTTCTGCAGCCATATTTCTTCAATTAAAAGCTATGAGTGGGATTATTTACAGATCAGTCTTATTATAAATTTAACATTTAAACACTGTTAAACTGTAAGATAGTGGTTTCCCTCACCCCTGAAGTGTTAAGTGGGAGGGGTGGGAGCTCTGAACCAACACTTAGGCTGAGAATAACTTATTACATGAAACAAACTTTTCAGTTTTGGTAGTGCCATGTATACCACCTGCTTTGTGAAGCACAGAACTCTGAAATATATTTGACCTTAGTTTCTTTTCACTGAGAAGTCTCCTGGCGGCTCTAAGAACAGTTCAGCATCTCAGAAAGAATCTCTTAAGAGCAAATCAAAGCACGTGTCCTGCTCCTAATAATATTTAAGTGGTGTTGGCAAACAGTCTGCAAAGCAGACTGTTGCTGCAGTGCAGTTTCTCCTCCTATTGCCAACTCACTAATGAACATTTATTGAAAGTACTGTTGGGGATTTGCAGGCATATCCACAGTTCATCCAAATGTAGATGAAGCCTTTTGTGACTTACCTGAAAGAAGGGTGTGCAAGCCTTAGTGGGATACCATTGCCTTACAAGTAGGCTTCCTGTTGTGCAAGTTAATCGACTTGCTGGCTAAGACCTGGGCCTTACCAGACTGCAGCTGCCCAGCCTATAGTGCTTTCCACAGCACCATCACACTGAAGTGCACTGAAGCTGCTTGATCACTGCGACTGAATATACTGCATTGTGTTTCAAAATATGAAGTATTTAAAAATCTGAGTTTCTGTAAAGAACTCACCTGCTATAATGATAACTAGGATGTCTGATTTAACATTTGGCATGCCTCAAGCTCTTTCCTTTCGTCAGCTGTATAACTTTAGCTTCTGTCAAGGCAAGTTATCCTCCAACTTTGACTGAAAATACCATTCTCGTCTTGAAGCTCTTTTCCCTTTTATTTATTTGAGATCCAGACTGCACATTCTTGTGCTCTAAGGGGATAGGAATGCTGTATAGTAGAGCTGGAATTTTTTTCCTAACTCTGGTTAAACAAACAGCAGCTTTCAAGGTGCTGAGGTGGCAAATGGGAGGAGGACTAGACACTGGTATGTGCAACAACAAAAGATGTATTTATTCCATCCAGTCTTTCCTTCTATACACAAAAAAAGACTTCAAGTTTTAGCAATGTTACTTAGTCTTTCAGTCTTTTCAGGATGGATGGAAAGCTTTCTATAGCAGTCTGAAGTTTATTCACTTATTGGCCGCTTTCAGGAGTCTTCCTGAACTGGAGGTAGATGGGTACAGTAGTTATTCTAAAGCTATCCCTCCACTCTCTCCCTCCCTCCCACAGAGTGAGGTTGGAGATAGGATGGCAGTCACTCTTTGCCAAAATAAAAATGTAATCCAGAAAAGCCAGCTCAACTGAGTTAACCGAATTCTGTAATGGCCTGCATTACATAGCACATCATATGGCTTTGCCTTCTGTAGTCCTGCAGTCTCTGCATGAATGCTGCTCTTAAGGTTCGTTCTCACTCTCTTATAAATGGATTTTTGTATGCTTTTAGGCATGTGAGAGACTGAAATTTTGCAGCTGTGGGCTTCTCGGTGTAGTAGCTGGCTGGATTGTTTTCTTTTTCTTACTGCTTCACTGAATTGTGTATCCTTTCCACAATAAAGGTTTCTTACTAAGGTCCAAGTAGCACAATCTCTGACTGACTTAAAAACCTAGAACTGCAGGCTCTCAGTAGCAGGGAAAAAGCCTGATCTAAGAGGGAGCAGAAAGTGTTATTTTTAATCTGAGTAGTGGCCAAGTCATTGTTTTGCTGTTCTCACACCACTGTCTAGCAATCACTGTGATCTGTACACCTATAGGGGATTTAGGAGTTACCTGATTTTTAGCAAAATCTGTAAGACATGGGGTAGAGGGTATTTTCAAGCAAGCATCCGCAGTAGAGGTTTATAGAAGTCACAGCATTTTAGTCTTTTTTTTTGCTAATATTATTGAGTATTTAATAGGGGAGCAAGAAGCCTTTGCGTGCTGCTGAAGTCTATTGTCAGCTCCTGGGTTTGAGCACAGGCCATGTGGGCTTATGAAAGGGCACCTCTCTTCTTCTGTGTCTTCACACCACCCAGGAGGTGCTGTGCAATTAATTCCCCTCAAGGCAGAATTTGTTCATATAATTAACTTAGCTAAGAGGAACTATTGCATGTGCCATTATTTTTGGAGTAACAGATTAGGGGATGTTTATTCCTTTCCTCTACATGCTGTAGGCTTGCCTACATCCTGGCCCTGGTCCCAGCTGTTACTCATTTCCCTAGAGAGAAGGGCTGTGTTATGCCTGAAAGATGATAGCCTGAATAAAGTTGGATCCCCCTTGCCAGGAATGCACTGAATCTTGCAGCTGACTGTCCTTTATTAACCCAGCATTTGTCTTGAGAAGTCCTGGTGAGGTCATTAGTCTGGAAGGTCACTAAACTAGAGACCTGAAGCAGAATTGCTTTTCAGGCCAGGGAGGGAGACTAATCATATATTGAAGAGTAGAGCAGTGCAAGCAGAGGCTTGTGTTAACCCTTACAGCATTATTTCAACACTGAAGTTCCTGTTGCTGCATCCACTGATGGTAGTTGAAGAGAAAAAGATGAGTTTTAGCCTTTGGTACACAGCCACATACACACTTCTTACACTCTTGGCAGCTGCCTCTGTGTGTACAGACATACTCACCTGTTCAGATGACAGAAGAATGAGGGTTCTTCCATGTCCATAGTGTTGCAAGTACAGGGCATCTATACATAATGTGTCTCATACCATTACTAAGGCTGTGCGTTCGACTTCTCAGCTGACTTATAGCAGGAAAGTTTAAATTGGAAATAAAGACAGTACAAACATATTGTTTTCCCTGCACAAGCTGAGAGCAGTACAGAGGGAATTTTATTCTCTAAGTGTCAAAGGAAGCAGGAAGAAGTATCAACATGAGGGCTATGGGAAGTGCAGTAAGAACTAAATCTAAGTACAAGTTCTGTGTTGGCTACGTAGGAACACAGAACTTCACTGATTAATTACAAAAAAGACACACAGGATATTGTTCTTAAAGAAAGAAACCTGCCATTTCTTAGTTCTGAGCTGGACCAGTGATAAAGATGTAAATGTTTTTGGAGCACCCTATCAGTGCTAGAGTAGAATACTGATGTGCACAGAAGTGGACCACTCTGGTCCCACTAGCACCATCTCAACCCTGACCTGGAGGGAAACTCTGCTTGGCAGAGATTACTGGGGATTCTGTAGCCTTCTGGGCCAAAGCTGAGTTGCTCCTGAGCAGACAGGGCCAGGGCACCACTGAAGGAGAGTGGCTGTGATACATTTAAGTTACAAATCCATAATGCGGGTCTTAATGTTGACATGATGACAGTGCAAGACCACTGGAATGTATGGAGTTATTTCAGCTAGACTTGCACACACAGTATGCATAGGACACAGGGCACCTTCTGCTTCTATCTAGTACCTGATCATCAGGACCATGTCAAGAACTTCACTTAGAAGGAGAAGTGGCTAAAGTAACCACCCAAGCCTCTGGTGCAAGGTCAAGCCCATCTAATCCAGACTTTTACCTTTTGGCAACAGGAGCATTCTTCTGTTCATTGTGGTTTCTTAAACTCTGCAATTTTAAGGACAGTCATGTTTCAATCTGTACAACACCACATGTGAGCCTACCTTAAAGGGCAGGCATCTGATTAAGGCTTTCACCTGAAATACTAAACCAAAAATTCTTCATGTTAAACAGATCTGGTAACAGTGGTACAGCTACTGCATGAATAGAAACTATGTTTCAACCACAGTTTTGGAGTCATTTATTCTGGTAGATCCAAGCATACTATACTGACCTATACAGTGCCATACAAGTAAAATAGTCACCTGAAAAAAAAAAGCACTCCACTTCCACTAAACACTTGCTAACATACGTTAAGTTCCTAAAGACTCATTTAGTTCATCGTATCACAGTTAAGAAAAAAAAGGCTAGTGTCACAGTCTGCTGGACACTCAACCCTACTCTTTAGTATATGAAGTTTGTATCAGTGACACTGTAGCAGAAAGTTTTGCTCACTAACCCATTCGTCCATTAAAAAAACTGCAGTTGGCCAAGAGTCAAGGGACTTGTCTACATAAAAAGTACAAAGAAAAACTCTTCTTTCAACGTTTGCATTATATTAAAAATAGTTTTGCTAGTAGTAGGTCAGCATTTGTTCCAAGACTTTCAAAGCTCACCCCAACTTGGCATATGACATAGGCAGTGTCTATCCATTCCTAGTATATGGGTGCAGTTGCTTTCCACAGAGTTCAGAAGGACCTGTACTGCAGAACAGACATCAAACAAGACCTACTTACTGCTCAGTGAAATCTACACCCCAGAGCTACACGTGCAGTCATACTAATATTTCACAGAATCACAGAATCCCAAGGGTTGGAAGGGACCTCAAGAGATCATCTGGTCCAACCCCCCTGCAAGAGCAGGGTAACCTAGAGTACATCACACAGGAACTTGTCCAGGCAGGCCTTGAATATCTCCAATGTGGGAGACTCCACAACCCCCCTGGGCAACCTGTTCCAGTGCTCTGTCACTCTCACAGTAAAGAAGTTCTTCCTGATGTTAACGTGGAACCTTCTATGCTCCAGTTTACACCCATTGCCCCTTGTCCTATCACTGGATATCACTGAAAAAAGCCTAGCTCCACCCTCCTGACTCCCACCCGTTACATATTTGTAAACACTGATGAGGTCACCCCTCAGTCTCCTCTTCTCCAAGCTGAAGAGACCCAGCTCCTTCAGCCTCTCCTCATAAGGGAGGTGTTCCACTCCCTTAATCATCTCTGTGGCTCTGCGCTGGACTCCCTCCAGCAGTTCCCTGTCCTTCTTGAACTGAGGGGCCCAGAACTGGATGCAATATTCCAGATGCAGCCTAACCAAGGCAGAATAGAGGGGGAGGAGAACCTCTCTTGACCTACTAACCACACCCTTTCTAATGCACCCCAGGATGCCATTGGCCTTCTTGGCCACAAGGGCACATTGCTGGCTCATGGTCATCCTATCCACCAGGACCCCCAGGTCGCTTTCCCCTTTGCTACTTTCCAGCAGGTCAGTAGAACTCCTCAAGATCCTTTTTTTTTTTTTGTTCTGCAGGCCCTGAATTACAATCTAGTTTCTTGTTTTCATTCCTTCTCTGTAGCTCTAAAGACTGCAAAAGTGAAAGACTCATCTCCAGCCTCTTTTTCCTTATGGTTAAAGGCAGACAGACCAGAAGCCAGATCAGGTGGATAAGGGAGGAAAGAAGTGGAAGTGCAGAATTTTTCATTATACCCTTAGGTTTGTTACTGCACAAAACTGTATTGCACTAATCCTTTCTGTCACAGGGAGATGCTCTCGTTGTCAGCAAGGAAGCTAAGCTTTGTATTGAAGTGATGCATCTTGTTACAAAGATGGGGGTAGCAAGAGCAAGGAGGGGAGGATGGTTTGGTCATTTTCCATTTTTTTAAGCACCATCTGCTAAACTGGTGATACAGAAACAGTAAGGGGCAGGAATTCTACCACACAGAGAAACATAGTAAAAGGCTTGAAATAACAATCCTAGTAGAGGGCGTATGTCTGCTCCTACATCCATCTTGAGAAGTCATCAACATTAGATACAAATGAATTAAATGCCTCCTAACGTACATAATTGTGCAACTAAATATTGAAAGAGTTATTTTCCTCTGGCTACATCTGAGGATTAGGAGACCTTGAACTCCACCTGTCATTCATTCTTTAAACATCTACTTCCTTTGGTTTTCTAAGCTATTGGCCTCAGTTACATCCTGTAGGAAAGCACTTAATTACCAGGTCAAACAAAGCATTTTGTTTTAAGCCATTTTGCCCTGGTGATGTAACACTGCTGAGCACCCCTTTTGCCCTGCTCTCCAGAAAGCATCATTAGTTTGCAGCTGACCTCTCACTTGCCCCATCTATTTTGAGGTCTTCCTCCCCCCAACACGTTTCCCCTCCTTTCCATCTAAAACGGCTCAGTTCTGTCCAGCTATTGAATGTGCTCTGCATGAAGCCACTAATTACTTTCAAGAGCTCACAGTTACCCTGAATTAACTAACCAACCAATCAACCAAAGTCATGGTGAGGATGCATCCTAGTTTTATCTAAATGTGTTTTATAATGTCTTTTTTCTTGGATTTAATCCACTTTAATAAAACCTGACAGTCAGTCTCCCTTGATGACTGCTGCAAGTATTTATCATATGATTCACAGTGGCACCTGAACTTTCAGTCCACTGCATAGCAAACTATGCAAAGGCAGTTTGTGGCTTTCAAGTAATGTATATTATTTACAGGTAACAGTGGTACCTTTACAGCTAACATCATCATTAGCATCCAGACACTAAATATGTTAATTTACAGCCATACAAAATTGACCAGAGGACACAATCAGATGGGTGCTTGGATTGCTACTGCTGTGTGTAATTTCAGATTGTTGCACGTAGCTGAAGTGCAAGGGAGAGGACAGGTGTTGCACTGCACTGTGGAAACTGGCATCTGCTTCTGGACTAATCTTGTCTTGGGTCATCAGCAAGTTCTGCCACCTCCCTGTGGATCGTCCTCCTGGTTGTACAGCATAGCAGAATAGTACAGGCTACAAAGAGAGCTTGGAAGGACAGACTGCACTGGTATGGATATAGCACCTTGCACATTACGTCACAGTTAAGGATGTACAATTAGGAACTTGTGAGGCCTGAGTTAAATCGCTTGTGGGTGGTGCTTCAGGGATTAACACTGCTTTAATGTGACAGAAGAGCTGATTTGTTTGGGGATAAGAACCCATTCTCTGCCACCAAAATAGCACTGCTTATACGAGTGTGTAGCACAGCAATACTGCAACAAAAAGACCCTGGTAGAGCTAAGCTCCATCATATTTGTAACAACTTCACATGAAAGAATAAACCTAGTTCTAACAAAATTAAATATGTAGTATTTCTGAAAGTTTATCTCCTTGCCAGTGCTGTGGTAAAACAAAACTTGGCTTCTCTCGAGGATACTCACACTTCCAAGCTCAGTTTTTACTTCCCCTAGATCCACACATCCAGATCAGTTCAAGGCCATGCTGTTCTGACTTGTGCCAACTTCACTATTTCCAGGCCCTCAGCCTCAAAGCGACATCTGACAACACTCCAGATTTCTGACAAGCAGTACACTGCTTAATCAGTAGTACAACACTCCACTGGAAAGAAGTGTAGGAAAAGTCAAAGCTGAAACTAGGCAGAAAGGCCCAAGCCCTTTGGGGAAGGCTAGCCTAGGTGGTGCTGTTAAATACTGCAGCTATCCAAAGAACCAGAATACAAGCAAAGTTCTGGGCCTAGGGTGGGGAACTACTTTCCTAGGAGGCTTTGGGCTGAGCTGTTAGGAAGGCAGCTGCAATCTCCTCGAGCAAGGCTTCCCATCAGCAAGCATGGGTCTGTAACTCCAGCACTAACACTACAGTGAGGAAGGAGCAAGAATCTTGTGGAAAAGAAAAATGCTTGTAAAACCTGTTCACATCATTAAACCCTTCTTTAACTATTTACTCTTAAAACTTACACCTCAGTGACTGAAGTGCCTTCTGCAAGCTTTCACAGTAGCAGTCACTAGAGAGAGAAGGCTCATGAAAGGCGGTCTCAAAGTTCAGGCTTCCCACCAGCCCCTGCCTGGTCAAATGAGGTCTCTGTGCCTGTTTTCATATGGCAATGGCATAGGCATATCATCATTGCTGATGACCCACTCAACAACAAAAGGACTTAGAGCAACAGTTCACCAGCATCACAGTGGGTAAAGGAAATCATCATCCCACTGTTTACTCCCTCAGAGACAATGAAATACTTTGAAATAGGCAGGACTAAACACACAAGATGTAGTTTCTGCAGATGAAAGGTCTTCGTATGATCAATAAATCAGACTGATCAAATTCAGCCCTCTCTTACAAGAGCAATGTTAAACAAAGTGTTCATAATGGCAAAATGAGGAGTTTCTGCACAAGATGCAAAACATGATGGGGACCATCCCATTCCAGCATCACATCCAGCCTCAGCCGTGCAGGTCTTGCATGGGTTGAAGGCTTGTGTGCAGACAGGGAAGAAGTGCTGTCAACAAGATGCTTCACTTGCTGTCAACAGAAATAAATTGATAGCGAGTCTGCTGACTCCACTCCATATTCTTCCTGCAGCAAACTCCCACCAATATTCACATAATTTTTTTTTCCCCTTTTTTGTAAAAATACTTGTTTCAGTGAGTTAAGATGGACACCTCTCCCAGAAACAGGCAGGTGAATCCTCTGGGACCCATGGGATCCAGCTCTGGGACTGGCCCACTAGGAAGTACGTGGGAATATCAGCACTCTGTTCTGCTCCCACTCCCTTGTCTCCTTTGTCAGAATCACTGCAGGTGTATCCAGGTCCCAGTTGTGGCCAGCAAGAAATCTCTGGAGCTAGGCACAGCTCTTTTCACACCCGGATCTGGTACCCATTGAGGTCTGGCATGGCTTTGGAATCAGCAGGCTTCTTCTCACCAGAGGGCCTGTAAGCAAAGAGGTAAGTGCTATTCTGAAACTGTTTTTTCTGTTCAGGAGGTGCTGCACAGAGAGATGGCAGCACATGAAGAGGTACAGGAATGCTTTAGACTTATCCTACACTACTCAGGGCAGGATTATTCTACAACCTCCAGTAACTCTCCCAGTGATCTCCACAGAAGGGAATTCAGGTTAGGAAGAGCAGGAAGCCCAGTCTGGTGCCCTGTATCAGTTTCAGGAAAGCAATCTCACTAACAGCAGTGTAATTATTGGAATCTCTTTCTTTAGGGCACAGGTCTATGAAATGCCAGAGCTCAGACCCCTGCATAAGGTTAAATAACTGCTATCAAGATCACTGTCTTATTTCAGCTGCCTTCCTCCTCCCTGCCAAAACAAACAAACAAACAAACCGTAGCTGTTTCCCCACTCCCCAAGCAATGATAAACTCATAAAGGCACAGACTAGGGAAGAATGCTATTGCAGGTCAGATAAGTAGCGCCTGCTATGAAGAACCCCGGTAAGACATTAGAAGGATCCAAAACCTGACAGCAATGTATAGTCTTTGACTAAAATGGAAATGCTCTATATGGGTTTCCTGCCCAGCAGCTGCACTCACCGACGGTCCCCACGGCTGTTGCGCCTATGGGGGCTAGCCTGACCTCTTTGGGGGGAGGAGACATCTTTCTTTCTGTCCTTGGTGGGAGATGGTGGCCCAGTTCCTTTGCCAATCTGCCAGAAAAATTAAAGTAAGAGCAACATGAGCAGACAACCAGTATGAGTAGTAACCAGAAAACACAAAGCCTAACAGTGATTAATTATATGGGAATTAAAGACAAAAAGGCAAGGCAAGCACATAAAAGAATGAAAAAGCCAGAAAAAATTTACTAATAGTGACAGCTATGTCTTCAAGTACTGTATACAGTCCAAGCTAATTACAACTGCAGTACTGCATGAGAATCCATTAGGGAACCAGCCTGTATACCAGAGTCCTCAGCCTCCAACTCACCCTCGAGCACCATTAGGAGAGTGTCATGGTTACTACTTCATTCCCCCAGTACACCATCAGCTAGGCAAGACAGGGGATGCAGCAGCAAACTGCTTCTCCACCCTTGCTGCTTACCTTCAGCCTCATATCACGGGCATGTCTCTCAAGCTCTTTGCGGAAGTCTTCCCGGGTTAGCTTGTCTAGATCCAAGATGGAATGCTTCCACTCAATCTGCTCCACACTGTGTGGGTCATGGGACACACAGTGGCCCAGTTTCACCTTTTTGAGAGTGTGCCAGCAGCGGCGATATGCCTCCTCAAAGTCAAAGATGAGTTCACTCAGTGTGCGGAAGACAGGTGCTTTGTACATGAGCTCCTCACGTCGGCTGATGCCCAGTGCCCCATAGCGGCCTCCGAAGTTCACCCCCAGCACAATGTGTCGGAAGTAGTTCCCTGAGAAGTGGGTTTTGAAGCTAATGGGGAAACGGTCCAGCGTGGTCATGTTGTTGGTGAGGTAACTGACAGCAGCCACTATTGAGGAAACAACTAGTGATACCATTTTCTTGACAAGATACTTCCTTCCTCCTCCAGATCCTCCCAGCCTGCTCAGCAGACTTGTCACTGATTCAGGCATCAGATAGGCAGGATTTGTTCTGCAGGTCAAAGGTCCAACCTATTGCAAGCTGCCTCACTTTCATCTGGGTCACAGGGAAACCAGACTTCGCCTCCTCAACAAAACCTTCAACAAAGGGAAGTTAATTTCAAGGCACTTTTGTGAAGCAGAAGTTAAAGTGCTAACACTTCAAGTGTATGTATTCCATAGCTCCCAAACTGTAATAATAATGCTGTAGCATTATTCCTCGGTTTGTTTTAATCTGTTTTACTAGCTACTGTTTCACACACAAACCAAGGACCTTAAGGACAAAATACTCATCAGACTACCCTTCTGAACCATTTGCTTGCCATCTGTGCCATTCCAGGTGGCTTTGTCAATGTGCATCGAGAACTTACAGCCTGAATGACATAGACTAAGCCTGAAAGATAGCGAGGAAAGATGTGTAGTTAGAGATGACACATGCCTATAATTAATAAAGGTATTGCCTAAGCTGGCAGGCAGTGTTAGACATAATAGTAAAGTGACATACATCATAATTAGAAGCTGTGGAGGATCGCTAACTTTTTAAATGTAGAACACATGCAGGCAACATTGCAGTAAGGGAAGAATGTTAGTCCACAAAGGACTTTCTGACCTAACTCTAGCTAGTATTTTTGCCCCTCTTTAGATGTTCCTTAGATTCTTCCTTTATCTTTTTCTCACATACAGAGTTGTCCAGAGCAGCATCAGCCTTCTTGGTGAAGGAGGAGCAACTTCAAAGAACTAGTTCTGATATTTCAGAGATTTGCTTGGATTTGGATTTTTTTGGTGGTTTTCCGGGAGAACTAGGTAGCGAAAACAGAGGGATGTGGGGCTTGGCAGCAATACTGTCAGCAGCCTGAAAGCATCATGGGGGAGCAGAGGAGAAAACACAAAGATGGACAGACATGCACAATTCCATGAGGAAAGGATACATTCCCAGGATCACAGCTTCCAGGCATTTTATTGGCAGGGCCTCTTTGGTCATTTCTTTGGCCAGGTCCATCAGCCTGCAGAGTGGAACAGGGGAAAGACGAGGACAGTTACAGGGCTTGTGCTATGCAAATGTGGCTAGTTTAGCCCTTTTGCACAATATATGTGAAGTAGGTTTCCAGCAGAGAAGGTGGCCCACTGAGGACAGGGAACAGAAGAAAGTATCTTCTTTAGGAAGATACTAAATCCAAACCAGGTGTCTACCACATGCTGTTGCTGCTTACAAGGAACTTGAGTAAGTTACAGCGAAGGTGCCTACTTGGCCAACCTCTGTTTTAGTGAGACCACAGCACTTGGCTCAGTGAGTTCTGTATGGAAACCTGTGTGGCCACAAGCAGAAGCCTCAGAGGACTGAAGGCCAGCAGTGTTTGCCTCACAAGGTTCAAGGACAGTAAAGCCCTATTCTCTGGCATCAATTCTACTCTTCATTCAACAAATACTGTGGAGGAGCCATTGCACTGGTTAAAACACAGGACATCTAGGGTCAAGTAAGTTTGTGGACGAGACCAGTGGTAAGAAGCTAGTCTTTGGAGGCTTTCAGTATGCTGGCCAGGAGAGTCAATTAACATCAGGTGCTTATCTCCTTAACTTACAGAGCACAGCTCTTCCCAAAATTTGCAGTCAGGAGAATCCCCCTTCTCCTTCAAAGTATGAGACATCAAAGCTTAGTAAGAGTAGATTCTGCAAAGGCACTCACAGGAGCTATGAAGTTACACCTGTAAAGATACTTGGCTTTTATGAAGCTTGTTTAGGGCAGGACCTAATTTCAGAATCCATCAGAAGTTTATGTAGTTATATGTTCTATATATAGTTCATATAGTTAGAAGCAAGCAGAATCTGCACACCTGGAAATACATTTACGTTATTTTATTTGATTTACTGACTCACGACAATAAAATCTACTCTTGTCCTTGAGAAAGGCCAGACACATCTCTGCCCAGCTATGCCCCAAGCAACAGAAAATACAGTCACCTAAAGCAGGATGGAGCTGCAGTACTGAAAGTCCTAAGTGCCACTCCCTTGGTCAGGGAACAGAAGGAAAAGCAGTGGGTCCCAATTATTGTAAAGCAAGGATTAAATGCTGTAGGGACTGCCAGCACTCACCCAGTCAGAGGTCTGCTCTTCTTAATCTCAAAGAATTGTGTCCCAGTGTGATTGTACCTGGAGGCAAGAAGTTAAAGGCTAGACAGCTTGGAAAATAGAGTTTGAAGAAAACCTGTCTGAAGAACTTTCATGTTACTTACTATTCTCACAGCAAAGTCATGATCCCACAAATTAAGAGCAACACAAGACCCCATCTCCCTCTCATGCATTTCTCACAGTTATAGTCCCTCCTAACTTCCACTGTATTTCCTTCTTGTCAATTCTTCTCTTTCTCTTCCCCCCACACACATTTCCACTCCATTTCCCAAAGGTCAGTGCTGACAGCAAATGCTCTGCTCAGCCTTCCAGTTAGCAGGACAGAACATAGATAGATCTCTGCCTGCTCTTGTCTTCCTTATTCTAAGACTGACCAGGACCCAATCCAGCACACAACCACCTTAGATGGGTGAGAGGTGTCAAAAGGTCTGCCTCCTTACTTTTTTTTAGGGCTGAAGCCAGAGCTAGCTCTGGATCTCATCAGTGAGATTAACTGTGCATGCATCACACATACCTGCTGTCCAGCACAACAGGGATGGAGAAACCTCATTCCCAGGACACAGTGACACTGGCAGCTTTGCATATAAAGAGGCAGAATACCACAGATGCACAAAAGCAGGGCAGCTGTCTAACTTTTAAACAGCTACAGAGAAGAGTGTTCAAGTGTGATGACCTGAGAAGCAGTTATTCTTAACACCACAGCTCACCCATACCTTACCACTGAGGTGACACAGTTTGTAGTCTGTCTAAGGCTTGGCTGTCAGGGTTGCAGGTGTGTTTCTAACAAAATGGCCACTGACCTTGAAGCATGGGTAGTGGGAAAAGGCCCTTGACAACGTGCCTGTTTGTCACACGGAGTGAACAGGATCAGAAAGTAACTTGGGCAGACCCAAAGCAGTTAAACAAACCAAGTCCAGCTTCCTGTTTTCAGGGAGCAAGTTTCAGTTCTCCTCCAACTACATCAGAACAAGCTCTTCTGCCCTGTCTTTCTGGGTCATCACACCAGTGACTAACATAACAGTAAAGGATACTGAAGCTCCCTGATGTAGCGCTGTACAGCTTCCAGGCGCTCAGGGATGGGGGTGGACGGCTGGAACGTAGGCACACTTGGTATGGGAATCTGAAATGGGGAGCAGAATGTAAATCACTGCTTCCAAACCTCTCCAGCTTCTTGCTGAACTCAGTGGCAGATAACTACAGGGAGTGTGTTCTCTGAAACCAGCCCCTTTTTGCTGTGCGAAGTGATCACACCAGAACATTCCACTGTTTCCACATTGACAGCTGGAAAGGGATTCAGACTGAAGCACCACCACAGAGCTGGAAGAGAAACTGTGTGAGAGTCCTGCATTTAGGCAACATTACATTGGAAGAATGAGATAAAATTAACTGACAAGGCAAGATGTGAGACAGGGAGGTTATCACCCAAAGGAGCTTGGCCTCATTCAAATATGCAAACTGGAAGGCACAAAACAAAAATAAGATGAGAGAGGGAGGTAAAAATGGAGAATGAGTTTTCCCAAAGCCACTGGATCATAGAGCAGTCTTGTAAGCAAGGATATAAAGGTCCCTCACTGCCGGTGAGTTGGCACTGACTAGGACACAGGCTTGACAGCATCATGAGTCCCCCCTGCAGTGTCTGTTGTTTTGAATTATGTGGTCAGAGAATGACTTCTGAAAGCCCACCATTTGGGCTGCTGTGCCGTTCTGAAGCCTCAGCCTTATGGGTCCAGTCAGATTTTCCTCACCATTTGCTCCACAGGGGGCAACTGCAGCCTTGTCAGCAGCTGAGAGAATGTGTCTAAGGGAAGTGTCCTGTCCGCAGGACAAATACAATGGAGAAGACACAGATTTGGTGTTGATTAACAGGCTTGGAGAAACAGCCTAGCATTTTCTCTCTGAAGGATAGCTTATGCCTTGGACACACCTCTCCGATACCAGACTGCAGCTTTTCACAGCAGTTTGGTCTTCAGTATTTCAGTTCCTTTTCAGATTTCCCCGTAAAGATGGGCTATCCCCAACTAAGAAAGAGCTAGTCAGAACCAGATCTTCCCTTGGGCTTTCTGCTCCACTGTGTGTAACTGCCTCTGCTGGCCATGGCTTTGTAGCCACTTCTCACCCTCCACCTGTATTTCTGTGGCCACTTATTTCCGTACCTCCTTCTGCCCTGGGTTGGCATAGGTGACTGGTGAACCAGGTTCAGACCTCAGCCAGCTGAAAGCTGAGCCAGCAAGCGTGGGTAGTTTTCAGTCAGGTCAGTTCCCTGTCCTGGTTTGCCACATGGTTGCACTCTGCTTTTGCCTGCACAGTACAGAGGCCAGAGACTTCTTAACCTTGAGAGATGGTGTGTCACTGCCTCTGAAAACCGTAATCTGTGTTTTTAAGCCTAGCTCCAAACACCATCAGCAAGTAAATGCTGAACTAAACTCAATCTCCACCCATTTTCTGTCCATGTTTTTTCATCAATTTCTCTTTTTTTTTTTTGATTTATTTTTTAAAATCTAAGTAGCACCATTTGCCCACTGGTACCCATTTTCATAGTACCTCTTGGAGGTGTGCCAGTTACCATCTCCAGTGCCTCATTGATATACCCTGCTTGGAGCAAGCAGTGGCACTGCCTGGCTCACTTGCAGGAAACAACACATGAAAGGCAGGAGCAGATGTGAAACTGGGTTTCTTCAGCCACAGCAGGAGCAGGGAAGGCTTCAGAGAGCAGATCACGGATGGAGGCATCTCTGGAACCACACGAGCTGAGTCAGTTTGGATGCTGTGAGCTGACACAGAGTCACAGGAAATAATTTCCAGGCAGAAACAATGAAAGAGGTAACAAGCAGGAGAGGCTCACTATTTAACTTTGATCCATTTCTTCAGCACGGACACTTCCATGCTTTCTGAGTGGAGACTGACAGATTAAGTGCACATTGATGGCACAGATTAATGACTGGATAGGTACTTCCATTACTAGTTGGACTTAGCAGACCCCCAGATACCCTTTTCCTCAAAGGACAGTGCCACGCTGGACAGTGGAATGGCAACCAGTTCAGCAGGGGACTAGTTAATGCAGAAGAGCCTCCTGCACCTCAACTAATTAAATTGATGAAAGTACAGTGTGCTCTCTCTCTCTGGGATCTGGGCCTGCAGCCCAGACTGGGCTACAGTTTCTTTTGCATCAGGTCTATAGCATTTTAATGGGGCAACAGAAACAGGAGGAGAGGAATATGGTCTCCATCCCCACACTGACAGGATGAAGACCCTAACATTTTGTCCGTATGCAGTATCCACTTCACATTTCAGAAGGGCTATAAATATTAGGCAGTCTTCACAATCCTGCAGAAAGGAGAGAGGAATTTATTTGTAGAAGATAAGAAATCAGATCTATTTTGCTTTCCTTTTAGTTATTCAGGAAGCTGGAGGGACAGCTAGGAAGAGAGCCCAGATTTCCCAGAGCGCATACCTCTGCCAGGCTTAGCAGACTGACTGAACATGCCTGTGGTCCCTCATCACTTGTATGGAGGGTTTGCATCATGCTGCTCCTGGATTTACACACCCCAGGAGGCTGGCTATATGCGTGGGACTGGGACTCTGTTTTAAGAAAGGGGATCCTGAGAACAACAGAGATTTTCAGATACTAAATGGGCCATGCTATATATGTGGCAAGGCAGATGGGAGCAAGGCACAGAAAAAGCTCCACCCTTATCTGTATGACAAAGGTGATTTTTTGGCTAGCCTAGTGTGGCAACAGCTTATTTTATGGTGCTTACATGTATCCAAGCACCTACCTAATCATCCTTTTGCAAGCAACGTAAGAGCAATCTGAATCCCAGTTGTCAGCCTGACTAAATAAACTGGCTTTTACTCCCCTCTTCAAGCATGAATCCATTAGACGAAACCCTTCCTGTCTTTGTCCTCATAACCACCTCATTTAAAATCCATAATTTCTTAATGAGGCAAGCACACATCACTGTATTTTCAGTGTGGACCCATTTGATGGTCCCAGCAGCTCCAAGTAAAGCAATACCCCCATCCTGTTGCTAGAAAAGAGCCTGCAGGAGGGTGGCTCTTAAGCCCAGTGTGCATGGCCAATCAACAATGTCCTGCCACCATGGCAGGGCTCACTCGATGCCCACTCACCCCAAATCTACTGGAAGGAAATGGAGACCAGAAGAGATCTCTGAGCTCTCACCCCCCAGTCAAAGACATAGCCCCTGCAGCTGCTCTGTGAACATCTGAAGTCTGATCACAGCCTCCTGCAGTTGTCATTTTATGGTATTAAGTTTATTTATGGCCAACTTTTTTTGAGAGTTATTTCCCCAAAACCCAATGCTGGCTACTGTTTAAAGCCAAAAATATCACAGTTGGTGAACCCCTGTCCAGTTTTCAACACTTAAAAAGGCCTGTTCACCCTCCAGCACATGGAGCATACCTGCCTTTTCAAAGGAGCTAATCCTGCAGAGTACACCCATTGCCCTAATTCTCATCTGTTGCATCAGCCATTCAAAGAAACTTGATGGAGGCAGGTGGTGATATAAGCAGTCCTCAAAGATAAAAACACATCCCTAGAGGGGAAAAGGAGCTAGGGAAACAAAGCCCATCCATCCTTGCTGCTTCATGCATGCCAGCATCCTCTCAGCTGTACGCCCAATAAGCTTGGGAATGGGACCTCAAACTGCAGAGCAGTGAGTAGTTTATATATCTGGTTTCCAGGGTGCTAGCAGATGCCAAATAAATGGATAGCCAAATTTCACCTGTTATTGCAAGACCGTATACCACTTATGTCCCTTGACTGTAACCCTTTGGCATCAAGACTATAAAGTGAGAACAGTGGAAGAACATTAAGACCAAAACCAGAGAGTGAGCACTGTATTTCCCTCTCCTCATGTACTGGGCTTTCATTTGTGAGCCTTTTTCTGTCGTTTCCTTTGCCTCTCCTCGTCAAATCAGCCCATTTGGTCAGGAAATTGAGTAGTGTGCGTTCTGACTGATTTGAAACATGTTTTCAGCCTTCACACAGGCTCAGGACAAAGTCAAGAGGAGAGGAAGGAAATCTAAAAAGGAAGGAAAAGTCCAGTAGGGTTAGAATAGGGACTGTAATCAGGACTCAAGATTCGTTCTGGTTGCTGCCACAGGTGCCTATAACTCTTCACAGCACAAAAGATGGTGCATCACATGTTTGCCCAGAGTTACTGCTGGATAGCAGTGCGGATTGCCTGTGCACTATATTAATAGCATGTTCTTGTATACTTTCAGTTACCTTCCCAGGGAGGTAAAGCCCTTACTAAAACAGTCTGAGCATAAACAAAATCATGGTTTTGCATCTGAGTTTCCTCTGATAGTGTGATGGGAATACTCTCCTAACCCACCACTGGAGTGACACACCGAATGCTTGCAGTGTCTTTTGTTCACAGGATGCCAGTGAAAGGGGGACATTTTTCTCCAGCTGAGGTGCAACAGAGATAAATAGCAACAATCACAAGAATTCACATGCTAATATCTCAGTATGGAACAAGGTTAAGTGAAATGATCACCAGCTCCTCTTTTCGTAGAGTCCTCCTGCAAGGCCAATAACATGCTCAAAATCACATCTGACTCTACACACCAGCAACAAGCTCTGCAAGCGTTCACTAACACCCCTTTAAACTCTCTGGCATCAAGAGTCTCTTTTCTGACACACCGTTCTGTGCAAGAATGGCTTTCAGTGTGGGAGACTGTACCCAAACCTAATTTCTTCATGTTTAAAGACTCACCTCTGCCTGTCTCACTCACCCTCCCACCACAAGTATTCGGACTTTTCTAAATTTAACTCTCCTTCTCCTTCCATCATTTATCCAGTCTTCCTCTTGAGCACAATCCATCTCCCTCCCAGGCTGCTCACACATGAGACACCTGAAATCTGTTCTCCAGCGAGGCCTCAGAAGAGGCTGCTGCTGGTCGCCACGGAAGGGGAGAGCCCCACAGCACCCTCCAGCACTCCCAGTTACAGCGAGGCTTTGCTTCCAGCAAGCACACCCCGGGGCCCTTTTCCCGAGGGATCGCTCCCGAGCTCGGGGGCCCGGCCTCAGAGAGGGGGAGGCGAGCGGCTCCTCCCAGCTGGATGCCGCCTTAGCCCCATCGGGACGGGGTGTCTCACCTTGGGCAGGTCGGCAGCTCCCCGGATCCTCTGCGCCACCCGCTCCCCCTCGGGGTGGATCCTGCCCACATGCCGCCACATCCGCTCCCAGGTGGGCTCGTCCACGGGCAGCCCGCCGCGGTTGACGAAGAAGGGGACGCCGCCGTCGCGGAGATCCTCCTCGCCCTCCTCCTCCTGCTGCTCCTCGTCCCGCGGCGCTGCCGCCGCCTCGCCGGACTGGGGGTGCTTAGCGGCGGCCGCGGCGCCGCCACCCCCCGGCATCGCCGTCCCCCGGTCTCAACACCCGCCGCCCGCTGCCGGGCAGCGGGGGGCCGCGCCCCGCATGACCGGCAACCGGCCACGGGGCGTCACCGCCCCTGCCGCGCCCCCGGGATATCAAGGCGGAGGGCTTTCGGGGAATAGGGGAGCGCAAGCCAGGCGGGGCGGTGCCGGGTGCCGCATCAGGCCGCCGCGGCGGGGGAGGCGCCGGCGGCCCAACCGCCCGCGGCAGTGACGGCGGGCATCGCGCGGGGCGGGCTTGCCGCCGGGGTGTCCCCACCGCGCCGCCTCCCGAGCGCTCCGCGGGGCGGGGGGCCGGGCGGGGATAGCAGCCACCGCGGCGGATGCTGCATGCGGGGTAACAAAGCCCCGCGCTGGGCGGCGCCGCGAAGGGCCGGACTGGGCTGGGCCGGGCCGGGCTAGGCACCGCTCCCCTCCTCTCTGCTCCGCCCTGGGCCGCGCAGCGCGGGGTCTCGTAGAGCCCGGGTAGCGGCGAGCGCCCACCGCGGTGCCCGGATCCGGCTTGCTGCTGGCAGGGAGCCGGGGCGAGCGGATACGGGTACTGCTGCCCGCGGGCGATAAGGGGGGGCGGGACGGGGAGGAGGGAGCGAGCTGTTGGGGGGAGCACGGGGGTGGGGCCACGGCGCAGCCGTTTAACGGTCGACGTGAAGGGCCGCGCGGGGCTGTACGTGGAGCCGTTAGTGCGTGTGCGGGCGCCGTGTTTGACGGCAGTGGTCTGCGCTGCGGCTTTAGGTGGGTGAGGGACGAGGGGGGTAGGGCCGGGCTGGAGGGCCCCGGAGGTAAAAGCACCGCTGGGAGCTGGGGCAGGTTTCTGTGTAGAGGCATCTTTGAGGAGCAGAAGAACTGCCATAAAGTTGCCAGGTAGAAAGCAGTGAGTGACAGAGACGGTGTTTGGGAAGTTCGTGTTTTAACTTACCAAGTGCTACAGAGTAATCACAAAGGATGGTCTTTCCCCAGGTGGGAACCACATTGCTGATCTTGGGGTATGTCTCTTTCATGAGAGGGCCCAGCAAGGCTCTTTTGCCTGGGAAGAGACAAAATGCACCTTTATATCAAGTCTGAAGGTGCACCGCAAGTGAAAGACAGTGGTCTGGTTGTCTGTTGCAGCCCTCCTGTGGTGCTGTGAAGTGTGCAGCTGTGATGGGAGGGTCTCCCTACAATGCAAGAGATGTGGAAGCCTGTTCACTGTGCTCCTGGCACAGCAGTTGTGTCCTCATCTGTAAGAACCAGGCTATGTCTTACTGCGGGTAGGCCTGCTGACTGTGTTTTCTCACCACCCTGTAATAAGAATACATTTTGAAAGTTCTGGTATAAAAGAAAAGTGTTCCATAACTTCAATGCACACAAAGCAGTAACAGGTCAGCTGTTGAGGAACCTTCTGGAGAGCATCTTGAAATGCTTGCATTTAGCACTTCAAAGGGGTGTTGTTCAGTATCATTGTAGGGAATGAGGGAAATACATCCTGTATCTGATTGCCATGGGATTTGATGCATCCTGATAAATGGGGATAACCTTTACAGAGTCTGGCAGATTTCACAGAGAAATGTCTCTTCTGTAATGCTCTGTGGGCAGATTTTCACATGAAGTCATTTCTGAGGGTAAAACAGTTGAAGACAGCATTCCTGTTGAACTCAACATTGCCCAAATTGCTGAAAAGTTGATTTCATTTTGGGAAAATTACGCTAAATGAGTATCCTTTTCTGCCTTCCAAACAGAACACCAACATCACTTCATGCAGCCAACACTGACTTTTGTAATACTTAAACATATACTTCACTGAGTAAGTTTTTTCTCTTGGATTGGGACCTTGGCCAGTGCTGATATATCACTTCAGTAATGGGTTTTAGTGCTTTTGTGGTTGTCTTTCCCTTTTACCTGTGAGCAAGTGGAGATGGGTAGAAGTTGACTCTTCTCTCTAAAGAGGCAGCAAAGCTTGTATCAGGAATCACTCTGCAGTCCCTGAGTAGACCCATTTTGTAAGAATAGTTCATACCATCCCATGTCCTTGATCCCTTCTTCCCCAGTGGTCACCAGTTCCTCTAGAGAAACAGGACTGGAGGTGTGCCAATCATGCACTAGCAGCGCACAGGCATACTGGGAGACATTCTCTGCTTTTGGTTGAGTGGTAGTAGCAGCACTGGGGAAAGGACAGGGTGCAAAGGCTTTAAATACTTCTTTTAGAGCTGTATTGCCTCCCCTGGGTGAAACTGGGCACAGCTGCCCATAGAAGCAAGGATGCTGGATTTGATTTTTGAGCTCCAGCACTAATTTATGGCTGGTAGTTTGCATTGCCTTCTGTACCTCAGCTTTTCTATCTGTAAGAGGGAAATGCTAGTAGACTTGACTTGCAGACAGAGATTTTTGTAAAGACAAGTTGGCATCTTTGGCACATTAAGAACAGTTCTTTCCTAAAAATGAAAATGTGTTCTAGTAGAAGTGAAACACAGACATTGTATTGTTAACACCTTAAAGTGTATTCTCAAATCTTGTATGGAGGAAATGTATCTGGTAATCATCATATCTCAAATCATAGAATAATAGAATAGTTAGGGTTGGAAAGAACCTCAACATCATCTAGTTCCAACTCCCTGCCACTTGCAGGGACACCTCTCACTAAACCATGTCACCCAAGGCTCTGTCGAACCTAGCCTTGGACACCGCCAGGGATGAAGCATTCACAACTTCCCTGGGCAATCCATTCCAGTGCCTCACCATCCTTACAGTAAAGAACTTCTTCCTTATATCCAATCTAAACTTCCCCCATTTAAGTTTTTTTTTACTTCTTGTCCTATCTCTACAGTCCCTAATGAATAGTCTATCCCCAGCATCCCTGTAGCCCCCCTTCAGATACTGGAAGACTGCTATGAGTTCTCTATGCAGCCTTCTCCAGGCTGAACAGTCCCAACTTTCTCAGCCTGTCTTCATATGGGAGGTGCTCCAGTCCCCTGATCATCCTCGTGGCCTTCCTCTGGACTTGTTCCAACAGTTCCATTTCCTTTTTATGTTGAGGACACCAGAACTGTGCACAATACTCCAAGAGAGATCTCAAAAGAGCAGAGTAGAGGGGCAGGGTCACCTCCTTCGACCTGCTGGTCATGCCCAGGATATGGTTGGCTTTCTGGGCTGCAAGCACACACTGAAGCCGGCTCAAGTTCAGTTTCTTATCGACCAACACCCCCAAGTCCTTCTCTGCAGGGCTGCTCTGAATCTCTTCTCTGCCCAACCTGTAGCTGTGCCTGGGATTGTTCTGACCCAGGTGCAATAAGGCTTGTCAGGGTTTTTTTTTGATTCATTTTGTATTAGTTAATTATTAGACAGTGTTCCTCCCTTCTGGCCATCACTTCAAATCTTTTGGCAGCAACAGGGGATCAGTGTTTTAAGGTAATAATATGTCACTGTGCTTTGTTTAACTGGGAAATAACAGCACGGCCATGCTGAAAAAGGCAATCCCTGCAGTGGGGACTGAGTGTAACTGAGGAGACAGCAGAGGACAGACACTGCTGTGCAACTGGTGTCTGTTTCCTTGTCTGCAGATGCTGTGACCTGTGGCGCAGGCTGTGTCTGCCTCTGATTTCTGGCAGCAGATTATTATGGCTAAGATGATGTCTAACTAGAAAACTATTTAATTTTTTTATTAATAACGATATAGTTATTTAATATTAATTAATTAAATTAATTAAGTTATTTAATATTAATTTATTTTTTATTAATAACTATATAGTTTATTAATAACAATATTAGTTGCTCTATAGAGGAAGGCACTGCAGATGCTGTCTGAATCACACCTGAGAACGGTAGTTAAGACTTTCTTTGTGAAAAATAACATTGATAAAGGATTGAAATCAGGTCAGAACTTCTTTGAATGAAGAAGTTGTTTCATAAGAGAGAAAAGACCTAATAAAAGTATTCAAGTGGTCTAGATAGCACTTGAAATATAAATTACCTCCTCTGCTCTTCTGGGTGAATTGGGAGTTTCCTGCTATTGGAAGGGATCCAAAGTTTGTTTCTGTAAACATAGTGAGTGAGTGATAGTGTTGACTTTCTGTTTTGTAATGTCTTTAACATTTTGATTAATATATTTTAAACTTCTCCCCAGCATTTGTTGTTATGTTGTCTTTTTTTTTTTTTAAATTCTCTTCAAAAGCACCTGACTGTTCTTTAGGCAATGTCTTTGTAAACTTGCATAGGAGCAACTAAAACACTTACTGGAGATTTCCAGTTATTGATGGCAATTTTAGGCCACTATTTCAATAGTTTCAGTATCATACATTTTCTTAGTGGAACCCTTCATTTAGGATTTCAATGATCTTAAAGGTCTTTTCCAACGTAAATGATTCTATGATTCTGTGTAACACTGAATGTTGCTTAGAGCATGAGCAGGGATTGTGTTGTCTGTATTCATCTTGACCTAACTCTACAGACAATGCTTTTCTGTGCTGCTAATTTCCTTTTTTGTAACTGTTCTGGGGTGGGTTCCCTTTTCTGTATTCCTGAAACAGCCCAGCAAAAAAGTTCACGTGACAAATCAACAACTTTCTGAATATATTTCTCAGTTTATTTAGATCTAAAGCTATTGTCAAAACCCATTGAATTTCCTTCAGTGTTTTTTTACATACTAATTCTGTTTAATTCTATGAGTGTTTGGAATGCTTCTTTCAAAGGCCCCTGTAGTTTGTCTAAACTGATTTTCAGAACTTGCAGTCACCCAGTGCCTCTGTATCACACTGGGTAGCCAGTGGTGTACATTGTGAAGGCTCTTCTTCTGAGAGCTGTATTCCCATGTATTACAGATTGCGTTGCACCTTTAGGAAATCTCTAGGAAACTTCCTGCACGTTCTTGTATTTTCATCCAGCTTGATGCTACTGGTAGCAGTTACAAAAGGAGGTGAGGAGATGAAGGGCAGAAAGTCAAATTTACAGCTCCTGACTCTCTCTGGGCCCTGCACTGTCTAGCTGAGCCCTGCTGCAGAGAAGAACGGGCTGGGAGGGATGAGGTGGTGGAGTCCAGGATGGCCTTGACTTGACAGGTTAGCAGAGCTGCTGTGCTCAGTGAAGGGTTGGGGAGTAAACCTGTATAGCGTTTTAGTCACAAATTCTCTATGCAAAATAGTTACTTGAGATGTGGTGCTAATTTAGATTTACAGCACTTACGTTTTATGAACATGTTTACACGAA